GCTGTCCCTGTGGAAAGAACATTCTTGTGGAACTTGACTTCCTTCCTAGACTAACCACTTAAGTTATGATAAAAGATAAGTTAGATATAAAACCTTAAACTCACAAATATAAGATAGATAGGATATCTTCTTTAATATTGTAACTGTAATTCTTGCTCAATAATTGTTTTGTTATATGTAATTTTACCATGTTAAAGTTAAAATCTTCCTTAAAAAAAAAAAAAAAGAAGAAAAGGGCAAGTGCTGTGGATATCGCTCTATATAAATAAAACACTGATGGCCAGTGACCAGACAGGAAGTATAGACAGGACAAGGAAAGAGGAGAATTGGGGAAACAGGAAGAAGGAGAGAGAGACACTGCAGCCACTGCCAGGACAAGCAGCATGTAAAGACACCGGTTAAGCCACCAGCCACGTGGCAAGGTATAGATTTATAGAAATGGGTTAATTTAAGATATAAGAACAGTTAGCAAGAAGCCTGCCATGGCCATACAGTTTATAAGTAATATAAGTGTCTGAGTGATTATTTTATACGTGGATTGTGGGACTGCGGGGCTTGGTGGAACCTGGAGAGAAGCTCTCCAGCAACAAATGGCAACTTACAACTGTGGAACAATTAACTAATCACTCTGAGCTCCAAAACAGAGCTGAAAATAGAGGCAGCCGCACTGACCACTGACAGGTGCTGACACTGTCACTATGTGACGCTTACCTTAGGCCAAGAACAGTCTTTAACGCTTCTCAATCACAGGCTCACTGTGAGAATGTGAACAATGCTGTGGATGGTCAGTGGTTCTGGTTTGGAAGGGACGGAAAAAAGGGTGGGCACTGACAGGTCCAGGGACCAATCACTGCATTATCACCCAGGCTCATTCTTCTTTCTAATGGTCCCATTTTGTCCCTACCAACAAGAACATGTAACTCCTCCAAGGGTGGGAGACTGGCCAGTTCCCAAATTGGGTGTGTGTGTGACTGATGGCTATAGATGTTATGTGCTAACTTTCTATAGGAATATAATCATGCCATTAGAGCATTGTATATTCTCTGGTACATCTACAACTAAGAGCATTCATGATTTAAAAAGCCTGAAAAAATAAATGATTTAAAGTAGGATTTAGTAAATGAATGGTTTCCATGGGGCATTTAATTTTCTTTTCTTGGTGCTCAGGAAAGATAATAGCTTTCTTCATCAGGGCTGTTGAATAATCCTTAAACCTGGTATCAGTTAGTGTAGCCTTAGTTTTAGTGATAGTAATTCTCAACCCCCAGAGATTTGGTGTAATTGCTATGGACTAGGTATTTGTAATTCCCTCAGTTTGTATGTTGAAATCCTAAGTCCTAAAGTAATGGTATTAAGGCTAGGCATTTATGGGGGTAATTAGGTCAGGAAGACAGTACTCTTGGGAATGATATTCATGCCCTTACAAAAGATACCTACGAGTTACCCTCTATACCATCGCCTCTACCCTGTGAAGTTATGGTAGGAAGATAACATTCTATGAACCAGGAGACAGGTCTTCATTGACACCAAATCTGACTGCACCTTGATCTGGTCTTCCCAGAGTGCTTTGCTGTTGATTATCCAGTGCATGGTGCTTTGCTTTAAAAAACAAATACTTTAAGGCAGACATTGGTCTATTAAGGGTGATGCTATTGTAATAAATGCTGAAAAACCGTGGCTTTGAAATTGGGTGATGGGGAGAGACAGAAGAGTTCTGAGATCTTCCTAGAAAAACTATACTGCTGTGAATGAACCTTTGGAGGTGAATTGGTGAGGGCTCAGGGAAAAAAATAAAGCTGTGGAGGAAGACTTATTTTCTTAGAGAATACTTAAGTAATTATGGCCAGAATATTGATAGGCATGATGATCTGACCATCTTCAGAGGTGTCAGGAGATGCAGGGTGGGTTTTAAAATGGTAAAGAACTTAGGTAGATCCTTTTCATGTCCTAGTGTTCTGTAGAAGGTATATGCATGGGCCAAACTGGGTGCTTGGCTGAGAATTTTTCTGTGTTGAAGAAATCACTTCATTTGTCTTGAATGCAGGTTACAAAATGCCCAAAAAGAGAGATGATTTCAAGGCAGGCTGCAAGGGGTATCAATGCTCAGAGGCACTGGAGGACAGAGCGTCAGGTAGGGATGACTGCTCTCGATCCTTGAGGGTAAAGGGAATTGTCCGGGCTTGCACTAGAACCCAATCAGTCCCTCCTTATTAGAAGGAGAATATCCATCCCATGCTTCTCTCCCTACTTCATTTTGGAAAAATCTGTTTTAATATAGGTACTGAGCAGAAGAAAAAATTGTCTTAGAATGGAAAACTTAAATCGAGTCTTACCTAAATTGTACTTAAGTGATATTGAAGTGAGACATTGGACTTGAAGCTTTTGTATTGATGGAACAAGTCATGATTTTAGAGCTTATTGGAATGAAGTAAATGTGACTGTGTGCAAAGAGAGTCTGGATTTTGTATACTAGGTAAAGAAAGTTTGTGTCCTCTCCAAATGCAAATGCTCAAGTTCTTTTTAAAGATTTATTTTTAACTATATGTGTACACATGAGTGCAGGTAACTGCAGAGGCCAGAAGATGCTAGCAGATCTTCAAGAGCTGGGGGGACAGGAGGCTGTGAGCTGTCCTGTGTGGATACCAGGACTGGAACTTGGGTCCTCTACTCTAATTGCTGAGGCGTCTCTCCAAGCCAATCATGTGCTGAGATTCTAGCCCCCAATCTGATGGTGTTAGAAGGTAGGATCTTTGGGAAGTGACAGGTCAAGGCCAGAGCCCTTATAAGAGAAGCCCCAGATAATTTTCTTATCATTTTCTACCATGTGACGTTCCAGCAAAAGGACTGCTCCCCATCTTCCACCAAGTGTCTGGTACCCATTTTCCACCAAGTTCATAGCAATCTGTTCTGGCAGCCTGAACGCATAAAGATGACACCACAGCTTGTTTCTCATCCCTTCAACTCAGTTTGTCAGATCTGGGGACTGGTGGGGGCGGGTAGAAAGTCCTGCTTCCTGCAGTTCAGTTTGTCAGGGCTTAAGGCTATCAAAGCTCCTTTTCTCCATGCGCCATAATCTCTGAGACAGTGGGGAAGAACACAACTCTCTTTGTCAGCTCTGGGCTTTGCATGTTTCATAGAATAGGCGAGTCTTTGAGCTACACATAACTTCCAAGGGATAGCAAAGGATATTCTCAGGCAAAGAACATTTGTGAACAGCTCTAATGACTACATTGTCCTTTCATGAGCTTCGCCAATCCAGGTTGGCCCATTGCAGCCACATTTCATTTGGCAACACTCACGTGTGCTTTTGCCAAAAGCCACCATGACTTTAAACTGGCCATTTGTCTCATAGACACATGTTCCATGCTTTGTCTTTAAAACTCTCTTGACAGATAAGAGTACATCTCAGTCAAGGCTTGTACCAGAGTCCATCTTTTCTAACAAATATTTTATTTTTAAGGCCATGAAGTCACATTTTAGTTAACATTAAAAAGATGTATCAAAGATAAAACATTTAAGCTTTTGTTAGAAAATAGATTCTGTGAGCTTTCATTGGCTTCTCTTTCTCCTAAAGCTTTCTTTTTTATTATTGCTGCATGATTTTATTACTATAAATACCTAAAGCTTCCTTAATTGACCAAGAATTCCATGTAAACTTTCATTCATTTGTGTGTTAGTTCAAAGAACTTTTTGTACCACAAGTAATTATCTTCAATTTCCTCACATTGCTTATAGAGTGAAGGCTTACAGAAGGGATAGCCCTCTGATATGTGAGATGTACAGTATGTTCACACTCGGCTGAGAAACTTTTTCCATCAGAAAGAGCCAGAGGACATTATAAAGTGCACAGTGAGAACTGAGCGGATATGAGTGTGTTTGGAGAATGAACTTTAATTATTTTAGTAGTACCTGTGCAGAATGATCCTAGGCTCTAGTTCTGACAGCATGGATTACAGGGACACGTCTTTCTCTGGCACATCTGGAATACGTCACGTGTCAGTCTCATACTACCTAGTTATAAACACTGTTAATATCAGGTCACGGAAAGTGATTCTTTTATATAGAAAAGCAATTGAGTCATAGGAAAAGGAAGACAAAGCTGTGGAATTTGTAACCTAAACATCAACCCCAAAATCCTACTCCAGTTCCTGTTCAGAAGAGGTCAGGGCATAGTTTGACAAACTTTGGACAGCATAATAGAGAAGGCCCCCACCCACTGCTTCTAGGCCTCCGGTTGTTCACACCGTGTTAGGCGATGTAATTTCCAACACCTCCAAGTTAACTGAGCTTCTCCCTCACTGCAGTGGTTTTCCCGGCAAAGCTTCTGCTCCGTCCCAGTACACACGCCTGTCTCTCCTAGCATCATGGCAGCTGTTTCTTTTCTGCCTCCCTCCTCCGCCTCCTCCGGTTCGCAGGTGATGGAAATGCTTCTATCAGCAAGGGAGGCTGCTCATGGACTTGATACCATCTTCTCGACTTCATTCAAGTTCTGCTAATTCAAGGAAATGAGCTGAAATTTAGTAAGGGAAAGGAAATCAGAGACTCTGGCTCAGGCACGCATCCTTCTGGATTGCTCTCTTATGATGATGTAATGCATCTATTGTCTCTAGTCATTTTCTTTAGTCTGAAAGTAACTGACCTGTTATTGATATAGGTTACCCTGAGTTTTCCTTATTAATATTTCTGGAACATACTGTCTTCTCCTTTTCTTTTTCTTTCAGTCTAAGTCACTGAATGTGAAGTGGGTTTCTGATAAACAGCTCACAGTTACAGTGTGTTTTTAAATAATCCACTCCATCGATCTCTGTTTTCTAGTTGGCAAATTTTGTTTTCTTGGTTTCTCTTTTCTCATCTCCTGATAGGTTACTTGAACATTATGGTTGTAGTCTGACATACCCCTGTCAAGTCCATCCTGTCTTGGATTTTCCTGTGTTTTCTCAGGATGTTACAATATATGTATGGCATGTGTGGATCAGTTTCTCCTGTTCTTCCCCCACCAGAAGTGATGGAAGTAAAATGGAGTAAGCAGAGCTTCAGAAGACTGCAGGACAACTGGTAAGTATTGGATCCTCAGTTATTTGGTATCTGCCACCCACTGATAAAATAAGCCAATCAAGCCTAATTATTAAGTTCAGGTTTAATCTGAGCAGAGCATTCCTGGGTGGTCCCAGGGGAATAGGAGAAGCCATGAGGGAATACCATGAAGGGAAGTCTTAGGGCAGTCCTTAAATACCCTCTGGGGGTGGAGCTGCTGTGTGGTGAGCTTTCTCAGCAGCAGGAGTTTGGAGAGGGCAGCTGAGGGCGGGGTTTGGAGAAGGCAGCTCCAGGAGATAACCCCCCAAACAACTAGAGAACAATGTTCCTATCCTAGATGTCCCAGAAGGAGAGAAGAATGAGACATTGATTGAAAGAGTGTTTGAAGACACAATGGCCGCAAGTTTCCAAACTTTGCACAGATTTGAGAGGTTTAGCAAATGCAAGATATGACGCATTCAAAGAAATCCCAGCCAAGGCATGTCATAATGAGTTCAGAAAGTGAAAGAGAGAAATTCTTGGAAACAGCCAGAGAGAATCACAGCCTCTAGGGAACCATTCTTTAGCATAACACGGAAATTCTCTGGAACCTGGCACCCACTAGGAAGCAGCACCACACGTCTGTCAACTGTGATTCTATATCTGGACAAAGTATCCAGAATAAAAGGCAATAAGGACATTCATGGGCAGAGAAAAGTTTGTCAATGGCAATCCTGAGATTAATAGATGCTTGAAGTCTTTAAAATAGAAAGCACATAGAAAAGAATTTGGAGCAGCAGGAAGATAGAGCAATATTATAGATCATATCTAAGTATTGAAATAAAAGCAATAACATCACCTGACAGTCAAGACAATGTAGTCAAAAGTTTAGAAAATAAGCCATCCTAGAAATTAAGTCAGTGCTTCACTCAAAGTGGCAAATTATTGAAGACTGCCAATGAAGCAAAAGTGTGCTCTTGGAGAGGGATCAATGGAGTTGAAACCCAAATCAGGAAGGAAACAGGCTGTCACTGCAGATTTTGCAGTCATTTAAAGAATAATAACAAAATGTTATGAGAAACCTCACTGAAAGAAAATTCACAACTTAGAATAAACTCAAGCCACAACTCGGGTAGGGTATATTCTATTGTGACGCAAACAGTAAAGTGGTTACCTGGACCACATCATGGGACCAAGTGCTTCCCCAGCACAGTGTTAGAAGATGGGCGTGGTGACACATCCAGGGCTGGCCTGGCAGACAGGTGGATTGCTGAGGCATGCTGGCCACCCACCCTACCCTGTTTGGAAAGCCTTTGGTAACAGTGACACCTTCAAAACCCAAGGTGAGTGGCTCCTGGGGAGCAGCAGCAAAACTACAGTATTTTCCTGATACCTCCTTACAGTAAGTAAATTGCAGTGTATTAAAGCACAATTTGTTGGACCATTTTCCATGCAATTAGATTTTCCTTTGAATATTAAGAGATTTATCAATAAGGATGAACCAAATAACCAAGATTTTGGTCACTACTATTTCAATACCACTAATTAATCATTTCTTTTCAGTATTTAGTGACAACTTATTTCATTCCCCCCTCAGAGTGGGTGGTCAGTCCCAAAGATCCTAGCAATGCTTGTGGGGCACGGAGTTCACCACCCTGTGTGCATGTTAACATCACCTGGGGCCTTTAACAGAATATGTCAGTCTGACTGAGTCTGTCTAGGGTTGGACCCAGGGATCAGTATTTATAAAACATTCCTGAAGGGTTTCTAAACATTACGGGGGATGTTAAAATGGAAACTGAGACACATAAAATTTTAACGAGTTTATTTATGCTAACAGGGATTCACGAGCTGTGAAACATCCAACCGAAGCTGGTTTAGGGAATCCACTGAGGGACGAGAAGGGGAAGGCTTTATTCGGGTGAACACAGAAGGAAAGAAACACGATTGGCTTCAGTTATACAGCAGTTCTGTTTGATCTTGCTGGCTGGAAAAAAGTCCCCCCATTATATGTTAGTTGGCAGTTTCTGATTACTTAACCTTTGTTCCATTTGTTTTTACAATGAAGGTGTTTGTGGGCTGGCGAGACGGCTGAGAAGCAAGTGGTTGCTGCACAAACCTGACAAGCTGAGTCTGAACCCCAGAACTCAAGATGGAAGAAGAGGCAGGAGTCTTGACGGATGTCTTCTGACCTCTGACACATAGATACACTACTGATTAAAAAAAATTGAAGTAAACAGAATAGAGGTATTGGTATGTAGCTCATGGGCGTTACCCAGTGTGCAGATAAAGCAAGGTGATGGTCGCTTGTGTGGTTTTGTCTTCCTTTTGGGTCTGGCTCCCAATTTAATCTAATGTAGCAATTCAGAGAGGCAGAAAGTATGTGACTAGCAGAGGCTGAGTTTAAGAAGAGGCTGTTGGAGGAGGAACTTTGAGAATGGCCATGAATGAAAGTTTGATTTCCAAACCAAAGTGGTGGTATGGGAGGACCACATCTGGGCCACAGCTGCAGGAATATCCTTTAGAAAAAGTGCATGTCCCAAAGCTTAAAGGGAACATCTTCCCTGGTGCAGTACCTTATTGAATATTGCCCAGTCTCCTTGTACTTCTCAGGCTTTGGAAGAAAGTCATCTTCCTTTTGTTAAAACATACAGTGGTGTCCTTACAGGGAGCCGCAACTAGTTAGCAGGTGGAAGAAGAAAGACATCTGGGGGTTAGGACTTAGCCAAACTTAGCCAGTACTCAATACACACCATGCATCATTACTGTTGTTGTTGTTGTTGTTAAACTGTAACTTTCAAAGTCTCCAGGAGCATTTCCTAAGGAGCTGCATCATGAAGGGGACCATCAGTTTCTGAGTACAATTAAGAGGAGAGTGACCATTCCAGGCAGAGAGAGCAGGATATGCACAGGCCCAGAGACAGGAGGTGATGAGCAGTCTTAAAGGAAATGCATATGGTTTGGGATTACTGGTTCATGCATGATGGAAAGAAGAGAGAGGCAAGAGTGTGGTCAGGTCTTGAAGATCACAAATGGAATTAGGAAGTATAGATCGGATGCACCAGCAAGTCTGCAGACCTCCATTCATTTTCCATAGGCATTCTGAGGAAAGTGTGTTCTAGAAACAGATGAATGCTGGGGCTTCATAGCTCTAGTGTTAAGGGATCTTTTTTTTACAGTGAAATTTTGCATTTGGAAGAAGTTTTAACTGAACACAATTTTTCTTTTTCTAAACATAATTTTTTAATTGATTCTTTGGGAAATTCACATCATGCACCCCAATCCCACTCATTTCCCAGTCCCTCTGTATCTGCCCTTTACCCTTGTAGTGTCCCTCACAAAGGAAAACTTCAAAATAAAGAATAAAAATAAAATAAGACTAAAAGTAAAATAAAAAATAAAAATAAAAACACTGATTTAAAAAAACAAATGTTGTAGTCAGAAGGTTTCTCCAGTCCCACCAGTCCCCCACAGTCCCATGGCCCACTTATAAAATAATCACTCACACTCAGAAGCTTATATTAATTGTAACTGCTCGGCCATTAGCTCAGGCTTATTACTGACTAGCTCTTACACTTAAATTAGCCTATAATTCTTATTTATGTTTAGCCACATGGCTTGGTACCTTTTCTCAGTTCTGTCTTGTCATCTTGCTTCCTCTGTGTCTGGCCTGTGATTCCTGACTCTGTTCTTCCTCTTCCCAGCATTCTCCTCGTCTGTTCATCCTGCCTATACTTCCTACTTGGCTACTGGCCAATCAACATTTTATTAAAAAAAAAAAAGTATGCAAAATCATTTTTCCCACAGCAAATAGTTAAAAAAAAAGCAAACAACAACAACAAAAACAAAAAACAAACAAACAAAAAAAACCAACAAACCCACTTTATTCCTCCATCTTTCTGCCTCTCTATCAACTCTTCGTTCATCTCAGTAGCATTGGGAGCTGCTGTGTATCATTCAGCATATCCTTTGTTTCAAACAGCTTCACTTGCAAATGTTCATTGTGTAATGTACTGTTGGTCAGGTTCAAGGCCTCTGGCTTCTGGTATACCATCAATACTGGACCCTCACTGTATCTCCTCTCAGAGATCCTGTTGTTGACCCAAGACATGGAGATCCTGTAGCTCTGGTTCCATAGAGTTAGTCCCTTCACACACTCCAGCGGGTCATAGATGGGGTATGTATTCAGATGTGCCAACTCAAAGCCCTGGATATGTGCCTGGGTGGTAGGTGAGCTGGTTAGTCTGGGCCTCTGGGACCAGCTCCTCCATGTAAAGGGTGAGGCTAGCTCAGTACTGCCCTTCTACTTCAACACATGATTCAACACAGGGTTCCCATGGATCTCTGTGGTAACCTGGGCAATGGACCTCAACACAAACCTAGCTGGAAAAGAACCATGGATCCAAATATAACCAGCAGCAGCTTGGGCCCAGATGTCACAGTGGGCCAGGTGTAAGTGCAGGCCTCTCAGATTGGCATGGGCCCAGCAGCAATGTGGTCCCTGGACTCCAACATGGCCCCAGGTGGCAGCCCAGACCCTGGACAATTGCATGGTCTTCAGTGATAATAGGAGCCACCAACATCAGTGCAGACCCTGGCTGCAGTGGGGCCATGGACCCGGGCATGGCCTTGGATTGCAGCCTGGACTGGACATCATCATGGCCCCAGGGGGCAGTGCAGGACATTTGATCTATATGGTCTTGGCAGCAGCATGGCCCTCAGATACCAACAGGGCCTCAAGTGTTGGCCCAGACCCCAGGCATCTGCACATCTTTGGTGGTATCAGGAGCCATAGACATTAACACAGACCCTGGCTACAGTAGAGACATAGGCACAGGCATGACCTTCGGCAGCAGCTCAGGCACAGACAACATCATGGCCTTGGGTGGCAGCTCAGGCTACCCAAATTGGGATGGCCCCCAAGGCAGCATGTCCCTTGAATACCAACATGGCCTTAGGTGTCAGCCCAGACCCTGGGCATCCATGTGGCCTTTAGTGGTAACACAGCAGTCATGGACATCAACGAAGACCCTGGCTTAGGTAGGGTCATGGACCCAGACATGGTCCCTGACAGTAACCCAGGCCTGGACATCACCATGGCCTTGGATGGCAAGCAGGCCTCTCACATAAGCCCAGTTGAACACAATTTTAATTTTATGAGTTATGGATCCAATTAGAGCACCTCAAATTAGGGCCCTGAGTCACCCGGAAACTTGTCAAAAACTCTTAAGGAAACTCGCTTGCATGTGTGTGTGTGTGTGTGTGTGTGTGTGTGTGTGTGTGTGTGTGTACATACATGTATTTCATATGTATAGAACCAGCCTGGGACTGCAGTACTCACAGCACTTGCTGTGGTTGGAATGTCTCCCTTCCAGCTCACATGTTAGAAAGTTAATTCTCAGGGCAGCAATGCTGAGAGCTGGTGTCTTCCAGAAAGGATTGGGTCATGAGGACTCTGTCCTTCCTTTTGGACTAGTGCTCTTCTCACAAAAGTGAGGTCTTTTAAAAATATTTATTTTATTTATATGTGTCTGAGTGTTTTGCCTGCATGTATGTATGTACACTATGTGCATGTCTTTTGGATATTCTTTGGCCCATCACTGTCAGTATCTGTGCTTCAGATGGCTGGAGAGGTCTTTAGCATGTCAGGTAAAAAGGCAGAGAAATGCAACCCCTCTTGACCCTTCAAAGGAAGCTACGCTCTCCTGAAGCTATCAGACCCACTGGCAGTCAGGGATCTGCATCCAGGCGGCGGCCATCTATCTCCCTTGGCATTCATCAAAACTCTATGGGTGGAAGGATTAGAACACAAGCCAGATGGGACATCACTTAGGAACTCTGCTAGGATATCATGGGTCCAGGGAACAGCAAGGTAGCTACTCCAGTTCCCTTCCTTCCTGTCACCTCTCTGTCCTTTCCCAACCTCCTCAGCTTGGGCCCCCTGGAAAGGGATAAAGGTATGTCCTCAGCTGAATGGCACAGACTGTTTCATTTATCTGGGGGGACAAACATTTTCTTTACTTGTTCTCCCAACTTTCTTCCCAAGGGCGCAGCTTGGGGAGCAAATCCAAGGCTGCATTCAAACTCTCCAGTCTACTAACCGGGTGCCTTTGGCAAGAGAACAGTGCCTCTGTGCCTCTGTTAAATGGAGAACGTCAGCTGTGAGGCTGCCTTGTGATGGTGACTGAAGACATGCTGGCACACAGTAGGCAGTTTGAACACATAAGATCTCCGTCCTGTCTTCTCTGCTAAATCAGCTCTGATCACTCTATAACTGCCCCTCATGTTCCTGACTGGGGATACGGCTTTCCTTCAGGCAGGGGGTGGAAGCTGAGATTCGGATACCAAGATGCCTTCTCGTGGACTCCGGGACACTTTGGGGACTCTTGGCCCCAATAATGTTTCTTCCTCATAGGGCATCAAAAGAGAGGACACAGGAGGCTGGAGAGAAGGGTCAGTGGTTAAGAGCACTAGCTGCTCTTCCAGAGGACCCAGGTTTGATTCCCAGCTCCTACATGGCAGCTCACAATCATCTGTTACTCCAGTCCCAGGGGATCTGATGCCCTCTTCTGGCTTCCATGGGCACCAGGCATGCACATGGTACACAAAAACACAGACAAAACAACCATACATATAAAATAAAACATTTCTTTAAGATTAAAAAGAAAAGAAAGGACAGAGTCCTGAAGCAATTCTTCTATGAGTTGCTGTAGCTCCCAAAATAACCTACTGTGTTCCATAGAAAGGTCAATTTTTGTCACTAATGTTTGAGTGTTATGATAATTTAGCCCACGTTGCTGTGGCTTATGATTCTGACTCATATTTCTATTTCAGGGAGGGAAAGAAGGAGGGAGAAACAGAGGGAAAGCAGTATCTATGGATCTTTATCTATATACACATAGATATATCCAGACAGACAGACAGGCAGACAGATCCATCTTTGACCAAGCTCTCAAGTCCGTGACATTTCTCTCCTTGTCAGGGGGATTTGAGGGGCACAGGGCTGTGGGCAGCTGCAGACAAGGCCTCTGCTAACCATCTGCCTCTGGCACTAGGTGGAGGCCTGAAGGCTCCGCAGCTCTACAGCTGGCACACGTGGCCTGGACATATAATCGTCCTCGGGACCTTCTGTCCTTCC